CTTCATCTGTCAACCCCCTGCCACATACAATTCCTAACCCTTAAATCTCCTAGTTATGCACAGAGCGCCTCCTAACTCTAGTGTGGCAGAGTGCTGACCTGTGAGCAGCTGCCACACCACCAGCTTGGTGAGAGCAACCTTTTTCCATCTGTTTTCCCAATCGCTGCACATTTCTGCTGGTGTCACTGTAGACCGCTCACTCTCTGACCCATTGGCTTTAAATAGCAAAAGAAAAAAAAAAAAACTACAATGCACTCTGTGGTTTCCAGTCAGATACCGTAAATACACCCAGATAATATTCCGGTGCAAACCACGGGCAGCATTCGCAAAGGGCGGAGGAGGATGGAATCTTTGGGGCCAGCTTGGACAAGGGCTCATTTCCTCTGTCCCCATGGGACTGCTATGGAGCTGAACACAGAGGGCGTCAACCAGGCTTTGGCTTCACCTCAGCACTAACACTTACCCCCTCCCCCTTGTTGAGAGTCCCCTAGAAGCTCCTGGGAAATCTCACTTGTCTTCAGGGCAGCCTGGCAGTGACCTCCTGGGTTCTCAGTTCGTAGATGGGAAGGGTGAGGCTCAGGGACTCAGAGTGTTGGCTCAGAGTCACCCCCCTGAGTGAGGCATAGTGGGGACTAGATGGCAAGTGCCCTGTCATGTAGACTGAGCTGAAGACACCTGGGGTTGGTTCCCTGGGCTTCTGTGTAGAAACCCCTGAGAGGAGGCTGCTGAGAGTTGAGGTTAAGGTGGAGGGGAGGGAGGGAATTTCTCACTGGGGGCCTGGGGACTGGTTCTAGTCTAGTCTCTGGAGTCTCTGGTGAATGCAGACAGGCCATCCTTCTGTCTATGGCTCTGGGAATATGTTCTTTGATTCTAGGGACAGGAGGCAGCTCTGCCCAAGACAGGATCCTGGGACTCAGATCTGGAATCCAGAATCCTACTCAATTCCCCTTCTCCTCATCAATGCCCCTGGATTACCTGGCCCACACCAGCCATGGACATTGGTCTGGCTACCTCTGTTCTTGAGACTCCCCTCCCCACAGACCCTCAAACCCTGACACCTCAGCTTCCACCACTGTGTTGTGCTGTTTCTTCAGAGTCTTCAGCTAACATCTGTTTCCCTGCAAAAGCAGTGCCACACCTGAATCCCTTATCTCATCCAGCCTGCAGCACTGTGCCTACTAGCACACAGTAGGTGCTCAGGAAGTGTTTGCTGAGAGCAGGGGCTGGGCACATGCTTAGCCTAGGTGAAAGAGGCCAAGATTTATATGCCTCTGGTAATTCAGAGTAGACTCCTCATCACCATATGGGCACTGCCAGCTTCAGTCAAGCTGGCATCTACTCACAAATCACGTAGCAGATCTGGTGGAGAGGTGGGTTAGATAAGAGCCATGAGATGCCAGACAGTGGGTCATATTCTGGAGTCCACCATCAGGTCAGATCTGGTGTCTGGGCCTCTGTGAAGAGGTGGTCAAGCTCAGCCTGCCCCTCACAGGTTGGTTGCCTTGATTTGTCAATCTCAGCAAGGTGTTCAGGACACAGCCAGTAGCCCATTTCTGAAGACTTGGCACACTCTGTATGAAGGCAGTGCCTCCCACCATTGCCGTGGGAGCTGACGGGAGCCACTCAGAACTTCTGCAGACACACCTGCAAGTGCCACAAGATGTGCTCAGTTAGTGTCCCAGTGAAGGCTTCTCCAGGCCATGCTGGGGAGAGAGTGGGCCATCAGGATTCAGGAATGGCCTGGGTCAAATTGGGACACTATGTGGCCTCTCAATTTGCCTCTGGCTGTACCTGTGCCTGTAACATCAGTACCTTTCTCTGGGCCTCAGCCCTTCAGCCTCAGTCCAGGGAGGGAGGCTTGGGAAGGGAGAGCAGTTGGGTGACCAGGGGATGTAGGACCCTTCCCGTCACTTCATTTCCTTCCCAGGGCACCAGGGCCTGCCCAATTACTCATTGACAAGTATGAACTGATAACCAGATGTCATCTCTTGAAGAAGTAATGCATTCTGGGAAGAGATGATACCTCCCTTTCTAGCCATGGCTTTCAGATTCAGTGACAAGGCAGGTTGTTGGCAAGACAGGGCTGAGAAACAATGCTACCCAACAAATGCCTTGACTCCCAGTTCTGGCCCTAGTCTAGGCAGGAAACTTTATCCAATTGCTTTTCTTCTCAAAGCCTCCTTTTCTTTACCAGTAAAATTGGGTGTTGTCTTACATTGGGGGATGTTGCAAAATATACCCCAGAGAGCTGGCACCTAGTAGGTGTATAACAAATATTACTCATTGCCTGCCCTTGTCCCTGTGAGTCTGCAGAACCTGGGGATGACTATGCTGGCTCCTTGGTTGTGGTAGACAGGATTGTCTGAGAGGCTTACAGTCTGTTTGCCACGGGCTCCACCCCTGAATGGTCAGACATTCCTGAGCCTCAGTCTCTTCATCTACAAAGTGGTGCTGTCACTAGCTCACTTGATGGGCCATTTATTTGTTTATTTTACTTTATTTTATGTGTATGAGTGTTTTGCCTGCATGTGTGTATGTGTACCATGTGCATGCTTGGTTCCTACAGAAGTCACTAGATCCCTTGAACCTGGAGTTAGGGATGGTTGTGAGTGCTGGGAACTGATCTGGGCATGGGTACAGAGAGCACCTGGTCCTGGGAACACTGGTGCTGTGCAAGGATAGCTGCCCCTTCTTGCTTCTCAGAGCAGTGGGTGTTGAAGACCAGCTTGTCGGGGAGGTTAAGGCCATGCATAGTCCAGGACCAGACTCCGTGATGGTCAGGTACACCTTGGACTAGAAGCATAGCTGCCCTTCTCTCACCTCAGAGAATGTGTGAACAGAGGCCATGGCCATCTCTGTAGCCATTGTCTTCAGTAGCTCACTGTCTGTCATCACCTTTATCACTCTGCGGCTCAGGAGACTCAAGAGATATAGAGTGAGTGGCAGGCAGCCACCCAAAGTTACCACAAAAAGTGTAGGTCTGTCAGGGTCCCACTGCACAGGAAGAAGCCTAAGAAGGGTGAGGCTGAGAGGTGAGGTTCTTGGTCTCCCCTCACTTTGCAGATTGCACTTTTGGTCTGGTTAAGGAACATAGTTCCTTCCACCTGCTGGAGTGTGACCACCCCGTGTTCTGAAGTCATTTTATCCCAGGACAGTGTTCGTTCCTATGAGGTAGCCAGAGCAGGTATGCAGCTATGCTCTGGGTGCCCCGGATGAGTCAGACTGCTTTCCTGGCTCTGGCTTCTCTGTCCTTCATGAATGCTGTAATGACTAGTGTTCAAGATGCTTCCTCCACTTAAACATCGGGATTGTTTTCTGTTCCCCACAACCTCCATAGGAAAGCAAGTGCTGTTACTTCCCCTTTAACAGTGGAAGAATTGGGCACAGAGAGACAGCTGCCTCACCGGTCACACAGCTAGAAAGCAGCAGAATACAGTTGCCTCTGACTGTCTTTTTCTCCAAAGCCCTGGAGGGGTTGATTTCGATGCCATTGCCTCTCCTAGAGTTTTGTTTCTTGTGTGTGTGTCTGTCTTCTGGAGTGAACTGGTGTCCCGGTTGCAGGGGAGAGGCTTCCTCCTTACCACTCAGTGGTCTTGGAGAACTCAGCAACTGCTTGAAGTGTCTTGTTGAGCTGCCATTTTGAAGAAGAACAGGGGCTGTGCTCTGAGGACCCCAGTTTTGACGTTTAGCCAGGCTTTGGGCTAAGCATTTTACATGACCCTCACATTCCCCTCCTGGCTAGGCATTGGCATTATCCTAGGCTCGCAGTTGAAGAGACCTGGGTCTTGGAGAAGAGGGGCTATCCCACAGCAGTCAGTAAGTGTCAGATGTGAACCAGACACAAACCAATCTCCACAGGGATGCTTGGGTGGGTTTCGTGAAAGCAAGAGCAATACTGGCCCTGTCCAGCCAAGCAGGCTGCCAGAGAAGCTGTGGGGATGAGTGGGCAAGTGGTGAGTGAAACAGGCTCCAGGAAAGCCCAGGTGGAGGCCAAGATGCTAGGGCAAAGGGTCTAGGTTGCTTACAGGTTTCTCACCAGCTTCTCAGTCTCCCCAGCAGCCCCATGTCATCTCTGCCCCAGCTCCCAGAACAAGTTCTTCTGAGGTGTGTTCTCTTGCTCATGCACCTGCTCCAGCTTCTTCCTCAGCCCCCCCCAGCTGTAAGAGCTGTGGGGCCCAGTGCTCATTCAGGGACCACTATGGGCAAGTTCTGTCTCCTTCACCCTGCCGTCTCTTGAACCTATTTGGCAAAGGGGAGACTGAGGCCCGGAGAGGCTAAGTGGCTAGGTGGCGACGTGACACTTGCACCCACTCAGCATTTCTGTTGGCTGAATCTTGATGTTCAGACCTCTCTACCCCTTTATGGTGGAACAAGGGGGCCATGTGGAGGGCAGAGGGAAGATATACGAAACAGTGTGTCACACAGTAGTATCAGTGACCAAGAGTCAACAATACTGTTTCTATATGTGCCTCTTGCTGATCACTGGCTATAGCTTTGAAGATGAGCCCTTAATGTTTCTAGCTGCTGCCACAGCTGAAGAGACCAAGGCACAGGGTGATTAGTGGTCAAGTCCCAGAGGCAGGGATTAATGGCCCCAAGGTTCAGCCTTCAGCCTATGCATTCCACAGTGTTCCATAAATGTCGCTTTTCCATGACGTGAACATATGTACAGGTGACATGATCCTGTCAAGTGTGATGGGAAAGGTAGTAGGTAGAAATTGGATAGGAGACACCCCCCCACACACACATATGCGTGCCCCGATTCAGCTTTCCTGAGGGGTCAGGGATTGTTGGAGAATGAGTGTGGACTTGACTGGGGTCCCAGACATTGTCACCACCCTAAGGAGCTCTCTGCGTAGTCAGCATCAGACATTTGGTTGATGTCTGCACTGTGCTCAGCTTCTCTCCAGGGCCAGATCCCACCCTCTCCCTAGATGCCCCTACTGGAGCACCTCCCAGATCAGCTTTTTACAAAGCTCTCTCCGCTCTTCTGCCCCCAGGGAGCCGGGAGGCTGCCTTCACCTATGCAATTATTGCTGCGGGTGTGGCCCATGCCATCACAGCTGCCTGCACCCAGGGCAACCTGAGCGACTGTGGCTGCGACAAGGAGAAGCAAGGCCAGTACCACCGGGACGAGGGCTGGAAGTGGGGTGGCTGCTCTGCCGACATCCGCTACGGCATCGGCTTCGCCAAGGTCTTCGTGGATGCCCGGGAGATCAAGCAGAATGCCCGTACCCTCATGAACTTACACAATAACGAGGCAGGCCGGAAGGTAGGCAGCAGGGAGGACACTGCAGTGAGGTCCTTGGTGACAGGGGTGGCGTCTGGGAAAGCCCAGCTCTGCGCCTAGCTTCCTTCTGCTCCACTCTGGTGTCACGAGTGTATGGCGTGAAGCTTATTGGCTGAATACTGAATGTCACACAGAAACAAAATGGGTGCTTCCTGGCAGGGAGGGAAAGGGGAGGCTTGTGAGTTCTCCAGGGCTCCACAGTCAGCTGTACAAACTGACTGGGGAAGGACTGAGGCAGTGGCCGGAGGCGTCCACGTAGAACAGCTACACATTTCCTGTCTCCTAAACTGAGATCTAAGTCAGTCCTTGAAGAGTAGGGCAGGATTTCTCCCTGTTCAGCAGACTGTCTGGGAAGGGTAGGGTGCTAGATGCCCAGTCCATGAGGAGAAGCAGATGGGACAGAAGGACCTGAGGACAAAGCAAGGAGCCATGAGCTGGATGTAGTAGAGAGAGGCAGGTCCTGCCAATGTAAGGACGAGCATGGCCATTGAAAAGCACAAAGGCACCAATACAGGCTGGGAACCCTATTCCAGAAGTATTCACACATCAGCAGCAGCCTGACCAGGCACTGAGGGACACCCGGGTCAGTTCTACCTGAGAGGGCAGTGTGCCTGGTTGAGGCCTGAGGCTGGGGTGGGCTCCTGAAGGCCTGTGGAGGATTAGGAATGGTTGGGGCTTTGGGCTCTGCTCCATGAGTTATTTGTGAGGCAGGGTAGAAGGGTTGACACAGACACAAAGCCGTGGTGAAGTGGGGTGGTAGGGGGCCATCCTCAGGCCTGACGAGCTCATCACAACTGGGTGGGCTCTGGGAGCAGGACAGCCAGTCCCTGAGTGTAAGTCTCTGATTTTCGGTGTCACCACGTCATCTTCAGAACTGGTCTTAAAATGGGAAAAGCAAAGAAGGAAGACAGTTCCCAAAAGGGCTCAGACACAAGAGTCTGTTGTTTGGCCTAGGTGACAATGGCAAAGCAGTGTCTCGTTCTGGTGGAGCAGGTACCCCTGGGCCATCTTCTGGCCTGGATGTTTCAGCTCACAGTGTCTCCAGGAGGTTGTGTCATTTGTACCACACTTTTACTGGTGAAGAAACTGAGGCACAGGCAGGAAGTCATATGCTAAAGGTCCCCTAGCACTGGAGCCAGGCATGTCTGGCCACAGTGTTTACATTCTCTGCACAGATGTATACATGGCTGGCTGTAGTGGCTGAGACGGTGCCTGGGTCACCTTTGCTCAGCCAGGCTCTGTCATTCATTGCTGCCCTGCCAGGACTGAGGTGAGGAGGGAGGGCGTCCCACTAAGATCTGACCCACAGTCCTCAGCGTGAGGGTAGGCATGAGTCCATGTTACACACATGTGCAGAGAGAACCCGTGAGGAGTATGAGGACATAAACAGGCCTGCATCCAGAAGGATAAGAGGGATTACCCCCTTTCTGGTGTCCCTCTGGTCATGTGCTGTGTCACAGCCTGGATAAGTAAGAGAGACCCGGTCTTCCCCAGGATGATATCCAGGTAAATCAGGTGGCCCAGGGACCATCTGTCCAGATGGGTCATTCTGTGGGGGTCTCAGCCGTTCCTTCCTTTTCACTGCAGCAAAGTCCCAGAGGAGATTGGAGGTCATAGGTACTGCCCCCTTCCTGAAGCTCTCACTCCCTGAGGCAGACAGGAGGCAGTGACTTCCCTCCTTTGTCTCCAGTTTCTTCACCCCAGATGTCTGCTTGGCCTATGTTGAGGCAAGGCATGAGGCTAGCCCAAGGATCACAGTGAACCAGGCTAGCAACTCTGGTAAGAGGGCCTCATAAGTTGCATGGTTGGTTCTAGGCACAAGGCTTGTGTCCACTTTTCAGTTATGCCGGGCCTGTGGGCACTGCATGGTCACAGGGAAACTTCAGTGAGCTTTCTGGAAGAGATGGCCCCAAAAGACAGCTGAGCTTAGCTGAGCAGAGGAAAGAGGTAAATGGCCAGAAGGTGGGACCTATAGAAGAGTGGAATCTGGCTGGTCTGTGCATTCTTGGGGGCCCCCAAATCTGATGGGATGTCCTGATGTGGCTTCTTGTCCAAATATTAGCCATGATATGCCCTCTAGGGGACCTTCCTTCTCATTCCTTCCTCGCCTCTTCTGGGATGCAGCTTTGGTCCATAGCTTTCTCACTCAGGACAGCCTTGGGGTGTCCCTTATCGCTGCACCCCAGACCCTGAGACAGACATGCAGCACATGGACACATTGATTAGGTCCTGTGGCACCTAGGTAGAGGCACTTTGGCTGCAGAGCAGAGGGGAGCAGAAGTCATGGAAACAGGCTGTGGAGACAGCAAGGTCCAAGTAGACATTTGGTACGGATGGAGCACAGGCTGGGCCTGCCTGAGGTGTGGGGAGCACAGAAGGAGGGATTTCACCCACTTGCTGGTGAGGACCTGTCTTAGTGTTCTATTGCTGTGAAGAGACACCATGACTAAGACAACTCTTATGAAAGAAAGCATTTAATTGGGGGATTGGGAGCTTGTTTACAGCTTCAGAGTTAGTCCATTATCATTAGAGAGGTGGGGAGAGAGAGAGAGAGAGAGAGAGAGAGAGAGAGAGATTGGGCCTGGCATAGGCTTTTGAAACCTCAAATCCCAGTGACACATTTCCTCCAACAAGGCCACGCCTCCTAATCCTTCTAATCCTTTCAAATAGTGCTATTTCCTGGTGACTAAGCATTCAAATATGTGAGCCTCTGAGGCCACTCTGATTCAAACCACCACAGGACCCTTGGGTGTTTTCCCACAAAACAAAACAAAACAAAAAAACAGTTCATCTAGGGACCATGTGCTCTCCTGAGTATGAGGGTTAGCTGAAGGCCCTGGCCTATGTCTGGGTCCCAGAGGATATTACTAATTGTAAGACACAGGATTCTCCAGGACTCCCCAGCATACACCAGGCTGTATGGGAAAGGCCCACAGCAGTTGGGTGAGATGGGTTGAGAGGCTTGGGAAGGATCGTGGTCTTGTTGATCACTTGCTGTCTCACAGAGACAAGACTTAACCTGGTCACAGGCTCTGGAGCTTGTCGGTAGCTGGTGTGAGAGAAAAGGGGTGGGGGCAGGAGAGCCAGGACAAAGGCCATGCATGCCTCCTGCAGGCTCCTGAGGGGCCATTGCTACAGGAGCACCTACTGTGTACCCTGCAAAGGAGGAGGACCAGTGTGAGGCTTTTGCTGTCAGCAGTCTCCAGAACCAGGCCATGGGGTCAGGGCATGTTAGGTCAATGTGCTTCAGTCTCTGCCATGGCAGGGGTAGTCATAAGAAGGCAGGTCGGAGACTGTAGATGCCTCTGGAGAGGGTGGCTGGGAACTGAAGTCTTTCCTGTTAGCCTTATAGGGCCACATTATTTCTAGACTGACATCACATGCTACTCTGCTCAGGCTGGTAAGGTACCAGGCTCACTCATTCTGGCTGGTGGTAGAATCACCAGATGCTGGGGGGAGAGAGACACATGGAGAATGATCCTGAAGTCCTCACGGCAATCTCTGTGTCCTTGAATTATCTCTTTTCTGTCCCTTGGGTGTCAGTGAGAGGAATTAATCACTCCATGGTCCATGTCCTCAAGATACTCAGGTTAGTGTGAGTCAGATAAAGGGGCCAAATCTTTGAGTCATGGCTGAACATCATAGGAGAGAGACACAGCAGCAGCTGAGAGAAGAAAGCAGGATTCCAGGAAGAGGGCAGTTAGTTAGCATAAGCAGGCATGGGACTCAGTGGTGGAGTGCCTGCATTCAGAATGCCCTCCACTTAAACCCCAGCACCATATATATATATGGGAGTTGTTAAATCTTAAAAGAGCAGTAGGGGCCCCATGGTATGAGGCCGGGTAACTGGTAGAGAGGTTGCCCAGGAGGCTGGACTTAAATACAAGCCTCACATGTCATAAGTAGCCAGAAGCAGTGTGATGGGGGTGGGTTCCTGTCCTTTCCTGGCATGGAATGGAGAGGAGCGAAAGGCCCTAGAGGTAGCAGGTGCCGACACCCAGGAGTTAGGGAGGTATAATAAGCAGCCTTTGGGCAGTGTTTGGGGGTGTGCCCCTCATAGGGTTAGGCAGAGGAGACAGTTTAGAGAGCACAGGAGAGAGGTGGTGACACCTGGGGTTCTGGCACCTGACTATAGCGTTGGAGAACTCCTATGTGGAGCAGGCCCAGGAATCACCAGAGGGAGGGAACAGCAAGAACTGCTAAGGACACCAGGCCTCTGAGGAGTGCAGCCAGGGAAGGAATGCAACAGAGCCAGGAAGGCTCTGGGGAGGGGAGTTGCTGGCAGGGAAGTGACCAGAACAGGGACAACCTGGGACCCCACTGGACTGCATGGGAAGAGTCCTCTCCACCCCCAGTCTACAGGTTACAGTGGTTTCTGCTGTTTCTTGGCCTGGCAACAGTATCTCCACGTCCCCACCATGAGGTTGTATCTCCTACCGGCTGTGGAGGATTTGATGTGCCCTCAGGGTGAAGTGTGCTGGGGAGCTCTAGAGGGTCCTGGGGAAGGTTGGGCTGTCAGCCCCTGTCTGCAGTGAAGGTTGAGACCAGGACCGGCAGCCTGAGGACAGGGCCCCCAACTGGGACAGGCCAGCCCTGCTGGAATGTGCCTTGCTCCAGGGAGGTGAGCTAAGGGGGATGGAATTCCACCTGAGTATGGAGTCACCTCTTGCTCACAAGGGGTGTTGGTCTTGTCCCTTCCTGCCCTGCCCTGTCTGGTCTGGGTGCTCCTGGGGGCTGGCTTTCTACTCTGGGCATGGCTGCAGGGAGGCCAGTGTATCAGGGGACAACAGGGACCCAGCCCCTGGCGGTGAGGGTGAGGCCCAGATAAGACTTTCTCCACTTTGTTGCTGCTGGAAGCCACTTACATACTTGACCAGAGAGAGTGGACAGTGTGGCATGTCAAGGGCCCCCAAGAGGCCAGGCCCCACCTCCCCAGAAGCCTGCTAACAGTCCTCAGGCTACTGTGCTCACAAGTCCTGCCC